TAGCTGGGAGGGGTCTGAGGGGAGGGGGTTTAGCTGGGAGGGGTCTGAGGGGAGGGGGTTTAGCTGGGAGGGGTCTGAGGGGAGGGGGTTTAGCTGGGAGGGGTCTGAGGGGAGGGGGTTTAGCTGGGAGGGGTCTGAGGGGAGGGGGTTTAGCTGGGAGGGGTCTGAGGGGAGGGGGTTTAGCTGGGAGGGGTCTGAGGGGAGGGGGTTTAGCTGGGAGGGGTCTGAGGGGAGGGGGTTTAGCTGGGAGGGGTCTGAGGGGAGGGGGTTTAGCTGGGAGGGGTCTGAGGGGAGGGGGTTTAGCTGGGAGGGGTCTGAGGGGAGGGGGTTTAGCTGGGAGGGGTCTGAGGGGAGGGGGTTTAGCTGGGAGGGGTCTGAGGGGAGGGGGTTTAGCTGGGAGGGGTCTGAGGGGAAGGGGTTTAGCTGGGAGGGGTCTGAGGAGAAGGGGTTTAGCTGGGAGGGGCTCCCCGGGCCCCTCTTAGCAATTTGGTCAATGGCCCTGCAGGTTCCTCCTCGCTCTGACCTGTGCGTAAGCGAAGCTCAAGCCAGAAAACGCATGGTCTGTCATTAAAAAAGACAAAAACCCTCATCATCCCGCCTCTGCTGGAAGAAGTTTGCTCTTCCCTGGCGTCACACCCCTGCTCCAGCTCCCCTGGGGTCAGGGACAAGAGACAAATCCCAGTCCCATGATGTTTAGAGGCTGGTTTTGAAGATAATTCAGAGGCGCTCCCCCAGCCTCTCGCTGCCCCACTTGCCAGGCAGCAAGAGCCGTTTGGGGGGCAGTGCCGCGGCCCTGGGGTACACGAGCCGTGCTCGCCCGTGCCGGCCTCTCTGCCGGGGTGCCTGCCCCGGTGCACATCCCTGGGGAGGGGAGAGCGGGGTGCCCCCCAAAAAAAGAACATGTGCTTTTTGATGGAGAAGAGGGAAAGATGGAGGGGCTCCCCAAATCCTGTACAAATCCAGGAGCAGGAAGCTGATTTCTGGTGGAGAGGGGTAAAGCGCGGCCGACCCCAGGTAACCCACCTCCCCTGCGTTAGACCTCACACTCAGTGTCACACACAAGTTCCTACCAGATCACCACCAAACCCGTTTATTAGAGGAGTTACTTAAACTCAGTCATCACAGAGCTGCGCTAGGAACACCCCAGGCATCAACAAGCATGTCTGAGCCCCAACACGGGCTCTTCCACCCGCACAGCCCTCTACTCTGCCCAGCCCTGGCTTCAGCCTTGTGGCTTAAACCAGCCCAGAGCCAAACGAAGGCCAAGAAGCAGAATAAATACACGCGAGGAGCAGAATAAAAATGCCCAAGGAACAGAATAAAGATGCTCAAGGAACAGAATAATGACGCCCAAGGAGCAGAATAAAGACGCTCAAGGAGCAGAATAAAGATGCCCAAGGAACAGAATAAAGACGCCCAAGAAGAAGAATAGAGATGCTCAAGGAACAGAATAAAGATGCTCAAGGAGGAGAATAAAGACACCCAAGGAGCAGGATAAAAACACCCAAGGAGCAGAATAAAGATGCCCACCTCCTGCTTCTGAGCCAGGGCTTCCCCAGGAGCAGGCTGCACCCGGCTGCCCCAACGCCAGCCTGCCTCACTGGGGATTCGCAGCCCTGCGGCTCTGCCTCGCTCGCCCTCCTGCTGCGGGGGGGCAGAAAAGCAGGGCTGGCAGCAGCACCCCAGCTGCTCAGGAAGGGCTCTGTGCACGGCTGCCTTCATGGCCTCCTCTTCCTTACAATCGTGCTGCGGCAGGAGTAGAAGAAAAGCTTTTCTGCTTGGATTGTCCTATCTGCTCACATCTCCTTATGTGTTAATTGCAGGTTGCAGGCTACAGTAACTCATTAATGAGCCAGGCAGCGGGGGCTCCCCTAGCTCTGCCCTGCTGGGGTCTTTGTCCCAAGCTTCACACAGGCTCCCTGTTTGCCCAGGAACCACTCTTCTCCCCAGCAAGGCTCGATTGGTGCTTCTGACCCTCTGCCTTTCCTCCCTGGCCAGGAGAAGGCTTTTCTCTGCCACTGAGTGCCCTGGAGTATTAGCAAATTTTGGTATGGAGTATATATATATTCCAGCAATAAGTATTCCAGAAGTCATCCCCTTTGAGTTATAAAATGTGGGAGTGGTGGAGAGAAGGTGGTGAAGGGGACAGGGCTATGTGGGACAAGGTGGCCTGCAGGGAGCATCCCTACCTGGCAGTACCCAACTCCCTCATCCACAAGTTTCTCAGCTGGGTGCACACAATCCCACTAGCTTAGCTCTAAAAATGAATCTCCAATATACCCCTGTCCTGCTGAGGGTCACATCCATCCCCTCCTGCTGTCCCTCCTTGCCCAGGCTCTGCCTCGCAGCTCCCCAAAAGAAGCACCCAAGGGCGGGGATCTGCCTGGAGGAGGTGGTAGAGAAGCAGCTCTTGGTGCTTCCAAGTGAAAAATCACTGTTCTCTTTCAGGAAGGCTTGTGCAACAGGATAGGCCATCTCTACTTTCAGCTGACTCCTGCAGCCAGAGCTCAGAAATCATGATTTTGGGGCAGAGCTGGTTGCACAGTGTAAATCAGCATCCCTGGCCCTGAAACCAGCCTGGCTGCACGGAACTACAGTGCCCATATTCCCACAGCAAGGGAAAACTCACCTATCTGGGCAAAGCCACTTGCGTGGGACCGTGTGTGTAGAAGAGCTCAGATTTTCCGCTCCCAGCCCTCTTTCCATCAGGAGTCAGCCCTTCCAATGCAGAAAGCACAAGTTTCCCCTGCCAGGTGCTATTTCCCTCTTCCAGGCAGCTGCCCTGAAACTCCACTAACACTGGAGAAAAGATAAATTTCTTACACCCTTAAAGTTACCTGAAAATCTTGGAAGTCTTCAGCTATTAAAACTTCGGTGCTCAAAACAGCTCTTGCAGAGGGTGTTGCCAAACACCCCATCTTTGCACACCCCAAGGATCCCGCACCCTCTGCTCCCCCACGCACCCCCATCACACAGCCGGTGGCTATTTCTGCCTTAGCACTGCGGCAAGGGCTTTAAGTAAGCCATTTAGTTCTTTTTTTAAACCATGAAAACAACCTCCAGATATGAAATAATGGGACTCGGTTACCTAAAAAAATATCCAATTGATTCCTCCTCCCGACTCCTTCAGAGAAGAGGTGTTATTATCTCCAGCAATAAATGGGGAAGCAGGAAGAGCAATACGTGATTTTATTTCCCCAGTTCCACATGAAATTTGTGGCAGAAGTTTGTCAGGGTGAGTGTGGAGGGATTTGCTTTCCCCTTTTTCCCAGCAATGGCTGGAATCTGGCCAGATCCTCGTTTTCATTACAAATTATACCGATGCTTGTCTGTGCCGTTGGTGTTTGCTCCCTCCTCGGAAGCCCAGCCTTGTGCAGGGTGGGAAGGAGGGATCCCACCTTCTCACCGACCACAGGAGGAATTTTGCTTATATAGGAAAAACCTATAGGAATAACCGCAACTGTCGTACCACTGATGTTTACTTCCAGCTGCCTTTGGTTTTGACAGAGCAAGGATGCTCTACATGGTTTCTTAAATAAAATAATCACAAAAATACTGAAACAAAGTTTTGCGGCGGTTAACAGAGTTAATGAATTGTCTCCAAATGAAGCCTTGAAATGCACTTGACTCAGCCTCACAAATAGATGCCCACCCCTGTGTTTTTCAGGGCAGTGGATTGTCACGATGGATGAGTTGCCTGGCCCTGGGCAGGAGCAGGGTGGGCATGCATGGAGGGCAGCGGCATGCAGCGGGCAACAGCGTGCCCAAAGCATAGCCCCGTGGGACGTCCTGCAGCAGCCGGCAGTGGGGCTCAGGGTTTGTGTGGGAGCAGCAGAGTCCTTGCCCTTAAAGATCTGGGTTCCCATGCTGCTGGAGTCTGCCTGGGTAGCAGCGAGGGGCTGGACCCACTTTTGGGGTGACACTGCAATAAACCCTTCAGTGAGGTGGAAAACTGCCCTACAAATACAAATACTGTGCTAGATGCTATCAGATTCTCAGCTGCTGTCACTGATAAAGGAGCGATACTTTACACAGAAGAACATATTTAATGGGTGCCAGAAAATAAATTATCAGCAAAGCAGAGAAGACAAGGGTCACAGTTACAGCCCATCCTTGTGCTCACAGCCCAGCGGTCATTCGGGGTGGTGATGAAGAGAGAGCAGGAGCAAACTTCCCTGGGGCTGTGAGACCAGGGAGTGGGTCAGGGGAGACACTTCCCAGCTGCCACGGAAGAGGGATGGGAGCACTTCTGCTGTCTCCTTCACACCAAGACCCTAATGCACTGCACCCTCCACCTGAGCCCCCCAATATTTGGATATAACATTTCTTGCTGTCCTGCTTCCCAGGAGCTGCCAGCTCTTCCTGATGTTGGCATGAAATAAAGTCAGTCTGAGGTGACCAGAGGGTTTGGGAGCTTCAGCCTGCGTGAATAATGCAGACAAAGAGGCAAGCAGGGCGGGTGCTGGGTGAAGGGAGCCAGGCAGCCCACCCACAACCCCCAGCCCACCCTCACCTCCCATTGCTGGGCTCTCCCACACCCTGCCTGGCTGGTCTCTGGCCTGGGCTACCCCGAAGGGGCAGTTTTTATTCGCAGCACCATTTCTCTGTGTGTGAGGTCTCCAAATGCAGAGGGATGATTTCATCCTCATCCCATTCTGTGCCTCCCGTTCAACCTTATTCTCTTTGAGGTTGCTCCAAGGAAATGTCTGAGCCCAGGAGAGCAGCAGCTCTGCTGTCAGGCCAGCTCCTGCCTGAGCGGAGAGCCAGCCCGTGTCCCGCTGGCACTGCTGGCAGCAGGAGCAGCTGGCAGGGCTGGGTGCCGGCTCACTCCCTCCGCGCTGGAGCTGACGGCACATTGACATAGATCTCCTGCTGCTCCAACAGAGAATTCTGTGTGCTGGCATATGTAGTCTCTTTTTCCTTTTCCAAACACTAGGAAAGGAGGGGGATAAACAAAAAACACCCTTCACAGGGCTGCTCCAGGGCAACACCATCTGCTGGAACCTCTCTCAGCTGCTGTAAGCACCCAGGAGCAGCTGTGGGGACTGGAGAGGGCACCCACATTATCCAGGGTCATTCGCACCCCAGCTCAGCATGTCCTTTTGCAGCTCCCCCCTACCCACCCAACCCCTCCCGCTGCCCACACCATCACCCACCTTGAGCTCGGTGCTGCTCTGTGTTCTCCTACCTGATTGCTCTGCTTGACCTCCATGTATTCGGTCGTGGTGTTTGTCAAGCAGCGGACAGCCTCGGTATTGCTGTACAACTGGCTCTCGGCTGTGCCCGAGACATGCTTAATCTCTGCGTAGTTCAAGGCATCCCTTTCCTGACACGTGAAGGAGAGGGATGAGCTCTTAACCTTCTGCTGCTCCCCCGCCTGCAGCCCGCAGGAGTGGGAACATCTCCCGTCCTGCTGCCCTTCCCCATGCGAGCTGAGACAGCTGCAGGAGCACTAGGGGAAAATTTAACCTGCAGCAAGGGCTGGCTCAACATTTTCCAAGGGAAATCTGGTTAGTGACACCAAGCCCCTCCTCAAAAGCCAGCAGAAAACATTAGAAAATACTTTCCAAGCAGTGATCAAATATCAGCTGCCCTGCAGCCTCCTCTGGCATGCTTTGCTACAGGTTCTCAAGGCTGTTTCACCCAGAGAAGCAGCTCCCATGTTTGGAGGGGCCTGGAGAGAAACCTCTCAGTTCAATTTTAAATACCCTTCCCAGGAATACTCCGCAATAGCCACATAAAATCCCTGGTTGGATCCTTCTGTTGGCAAACAGAACTTGAAGGATCCCTCCCAGCCTAAAGAGCCATGAACCTGGAGGAAAGCAAACGGCTCTGGCAGCTCATTTGCTCAGCTCAGGGTTTGAGGTTTCCCCTCTCGAGGCGAGCTCAGAGCACACCACCCCAAGACCTCGTGTGATTTGCCTTACTGTATGCGATGTGCTGTGGATCCTGTCCATCTCTACAGCTGCTCTGGAGAGAGCTGGATGAAGCACAGATGTGGTTAGACACGAGTGAAACCAGGGGGAAAGACATGTATTAAAAAACTCAGCTGCCACTGCAAATCTCACCATACAGCAGGAAGGGAACCTGCTGCCCCATCAGCCATCTAAACTGGAGAAGTTCTTCAAATAAAACCAGACTCCACCTGCCACCTGGTGACATCCCCTCCCGTCCCTCCCCATCTTTCACACTGGCCTCAAACTTTGCATCAAGCCTAGTGCAAGCCTGGCCTACACAACTGAGCATGTCTGGAGAAGCTGACGGTGCCCAAACTCAAGCAGGTGCCGTGCCAGGCAGCACCCATCCCGAGCTGCCATTCCCTGCTCCCATGGGGATGAGACCTGTGGGAAGTCCCATTGGTGCCTCGGGGGAAGGAGACCTTCGTGGAGGTCTCAGTGATGGACCCAGGGATTGGATGGATCAGGGGGGGAATGGGCGAGAAAAAACAAATATGGAGGAAAAAACAAATATGGCAGAAGACAGTCTCTGGTGCACAAACAACGTGTGTGTGGTGCTGACAGCTTTGCTTACCCTTCTTCCTCTTCCTGGACAGTATTACCAAAACAACAGCAGCAACTACAAGCAAAAGAAGAACTACCGCGATGCCTGGTGTGAGGATGTGCTCCACCGTGTTCAAGCTGCAAGAAAAAAAAGAGTTTCTGTTCTCACGCTTCTTTTTGGAAGCAGACACAGGAGGAATCAGCACAGAGCAGGCAAGCGGGAGCAGCTGTGGGTGATGGGGGTTGCTTGGGGAGGAAGGGAAGCAGGCGTGGGGGTGGTCAGGCTGCACGCTGGGCACGGAGTGAACTGAGAACTGCAGACTCAAATGGACACTCGGTCTGAGAGCTGTTGCGTCATCGCTGTTTTAAGGATCAGTTCCTGCACCTAATTTTGCACTGGTTTAGCTCCACTATTTGTTGACCTGGTTGTAAAGGGCAACCAGGCAAGGTGGGTGTGCCAGCGAGCCCTTGGGCATGCTGTCGGGGGCCTCAACTTTGCCCACTTCCTGCATCTCCTCCAAGAGATAAGGAAGGAAGCTCTGCCACTCCAGTCTCATGCTCTGTCAGCTGTGTCTGCCGGGCTGTGTGTCACTACAAAGCAGAACAGGACCCGGCTCAGCACTTGGTTTCCCACAAGCAAACGGTCCCTCTGGGTTTTGGGGAAGGAAACAGACTTATTGCTGCAGCCAGAAACCACTTCTCACATGGTGGTAACCTGCACCTTGCTTAAGCTGCAAAACAGACAAGGGGACAAGCAGGGCTTTGCCAGAGCCAAGAGACATGGGGCACTGCGATTATTTTCCATGCAGAGTGACTGGCTGAGAGGACAAAGCGCTGGTCCTTAAAGGCAAAAGCAAGAGGTCTGAATCTGTAAGGGAGGCGTGAAGAGCCCAGAGGGTTCCAGGGCTCCAGCTGCACCAAAGAGACCTCATGGAGGGAGGTGGCTGCTGTGGGCAGGAGCTGGTACTCACCCAGGAGGGCTGGAGTCTCCATGGTGCAAGTGATTTGATCCTGGTACCACAACTTTCCCCGGGGGAGTTGTCTGTGTGGGGACTGGTAAGGAGCTAGTGGGTAGGGTGTAGGGTGATGGCGGGGAGATGGAAGGAGGAGCTGTAATGGAGGAGAGTCTTGGTCAGTCTCCCTACCTCCGTGGGGGAAAATCCTGTGGGGTTTGCAGTGAGCCAGAAGTGAGCCACTTACTGTCACACCAGGAGAAGCTGGGTCCCCTCTGCCACATCCAGAGCACACTCCTCAAGGTGGGAGGGTTGTAATCCCCCACCCCTGCCCAGGAGGCTTTTTGTGGTCCCAGTCCCCCCCCAAACACGCACACACAGAGACCAGGGTTCACTCTGCACCCTGCACCCAGCCCGGTACTAACACAACAGCCCCATACAAGTGTCCCACCATGGGGGCTGGTCCCTGATGAGGGGACAGGGAAGGACATTCCCTGAGCCAAGGGCCTGGTACCCACAGGCACTGGCTGCCCCACGGCGAGACATGGGGCAGCAAAGGGGGGTGGGGAACTCCCTGGAGTTATAAAATAATGCAAGGAAAGCACAGACAGGGCTGGCAGGGTCTGATAAGAGAGGAAAATGGGGCACAGAGAGCAGGGTGCTGCACCCCAGTAATGGGGGTGAGTGACCCTGGGATGCTGAGAAGGGACTGTGGTGAGAACTGGGCACGGGGAACGCGTGAACGTGGCACCCGCCACGGCGGCAGCCAGCTGAGCCCTGGTCACACTCCCTGGGGGCTGCCCCACGCAGCATGAGCACCCATCTCCCCCAGACTGCAGCCCCCGCTCCCAGCACTTGAAGGGGACACACCAATGCTGAACGTGGGGAACCCACAAGTACTGACCTGCGTCCACGATCACCTTCACAACGTGACTTTCATCAGCCTGGAATGTGCCCGTTCGAACCCCACAGATGTACATGCCCGCATCCCCCTCGGTCAGGCGCTCCATGGTCACCGTGAACACCCGCCGTGTGCGACTGTCCCGGATGGAGAATCGGTCCTGCTGCACCACGGGCTGCTCACTCGAGGTGATGATGATGTCGTCAGAACAGGTGAAAATTGCTCCCGGATAGCACCAGAATTTCGGCTTCATCTCCTGACCAGCCCGGTAGGCGCAGCTCACCGAGACGGACCCCCCCACGTATCCCCGCACGATTGCGGGACGCATCACTGCCCAGCAGCCTGCGGAGACACACGGAGCCGCGGTTGTGCTGCTGCCGCCGCCGCGCCCGCCCCGCCCGTCGGCGCTTAGATCCCACCGGAGCCGCTCCGGGGCTCGGGGGCTCCGGCCCGGCCCCTTACCTGGCAGCAGCACCCCGGCGAGCAGCGCC